TAATCCAAGCCATAAAGGGAGTGAAATATCATCCCCTAAGTTGCATCTAGAGAAGGTTAAACTTTGTAGATGGGTGAGTCAATATGTGAAAGTTATAAAATATATAAATACCAAATATGTTTACAATAAAATGGACAAGCCATATTGGCCTGACTGCAGATTAAAAAAAAAAAAAATAATAATAATAACAAGTTAATTTTTATATAAAAGTTTATATGATATTATAAATATTTTTTCAACAGTTTCAATAAAGTAAGCCATAATAGCATAATTGCAAATTAAAAAAATAATAATAATAATAATAACATATTAATCAATATTAATCAATAATTAAAGATATTAAAATAATAAATAAATATTTTAATTAATTTAAATTTATCGATCAATAATGTATCATTGGATCATTGATCACAGAAATCATGTGTTTCATTGGTAGAGCCCTAGCATAAAATAATGATTCGATGGACCAATGTTCTGCGATTCTGATCATATTCTACATACGCACTGTATGTCTTCTTTGTCATTCCACTTGAAGATTGGCTGTCCCTTTTATGGAACAAACTGCAAACTTTAAATGGTACTCAAATTATTAACGTATTGTATGCACTTTATATAAATACGGGTACTTTTCACGTTTTTTTCCTTTGTTCGCCGCGCGCTTCTTGTCCAAAGTAGTTGAAATATTGTACTCTTTCACTCCCTCATCGTTTAAAGTGTTCCTTTCGTCTCATAAAATGTCTTCTACAAGCAACAACGCCATAACCTCTAACCCTGGCTTCGGTCTAGAGGCCTGTCTGTTACCAAACACTATCGAATTCCCCACCCCTAAATTCTCTTTGCCGCCAATATTTGCACTGGATATCTCTGTTCCTCACTTTGCTTTGCGACGTCGAAACGCAATAGTAGAAGCCGTTTTGGAGACACCACTTGTCTTCTAAAAAGGAGAAAGAAATCAAAAAAAAAAAAAATGAAAAAAAAAAAAAAAAATGAAAATTACAAAAAAAAAAAAAAAATATCCAACAATGCTATAGCGTCTCTCACAGTAAGTAAACTTCTTTTTTTTTCTATCGTCTTCAAACAGTCAGTTACCTAACTTATCGGATATATTCCGTTTGTAAAAATAGACTTCTACATTTCTTTCGACTGGCTTTCATACAATGAACATTTGTTTAAAAAAATTTTTTAAAAAAAAAACCAAAAAAAACATCGAATATCAATTATTATATACGTATATATATTTTAGATCTTTTTTTTTCAACATCTTCTATTGTAAATCATATAAAGCTTTATTCCTTTTACATTTGTTAAATATTATACCGGCACATCTATAGAAGTACATAATACCCTTAGTCAAGTTTCAACCCTTTCTACCCGACTTTCATTCACCTATTCATATATTTCAACACTTTATGTGATGCTATTCATCGCAATTGCTATACCACATTTATCGACAATCTTTTGTTCTTTTTTTGTTCCAAATAATGTGAATAGTCTAGCGCCGGCCGTTACAGGCTTTTTTTTCTTCAATAAAAAACGAAAGACAGATTCTGAGTCTCTTCTTGATTAGTTCTCATAAATTATGCTTTGTTGATAATATCGTTTTTATTACTGAGAAATTCATTGAATCTGACGGCAATTTTCGGTTGGAAGATCTGGCATACTCTTAATTAATTATCTAATGGATTATTTTTGTTCCCTCCTTGTTCGCGTCTATACTTTCATACTTATCTTTAAATATTAATCAATTAATCAAATAAGAATCAACGTTCATAAAATAATTTCACATTATATTATCTGAATTGCAATGTTAACATCGAATTATATACAATATATTAGAACTCGATTTCATTAATAGTTAAATTACAGCATATATATCAAGTACATTCATTCTGTAAAGTGTCGCTGGAATCCTGGAGGCACTCCTTTTGCCGGTCTTTGGACAGTATTATATACATATGCCGAATGCGAATCTGACCATAAATATTTATGTTGCAACAGATTTTGTATTTTAGAATATGCCTCCCTATTGGCATACGGTATACCAGTTTTTGGATCCTTATACTTCGCTGTAAGGCCAGTGAAAGGGCATATTACTTTTTTCGCTCCTATGTTTAATAAGTAAATCAAATATAAGATACCGAAGCAATACATTTATTTACTTAAGAAAAACTTACTTTGTGGTTTTTTCCTCCATTCCTGAAATAATTTAATTTCATCCGATTTTGAAAACTGTGAAAATATAAGTAAATTTCTTGCCTCTCTTTTATCTTCTTTTTTATCCTCTATTATATCATCTTTTGCTTCTATATCTTCCTTTTTATCCTCCGCTGCATCTACCTTATCCTCTATTTTGCCTTCTGCCCCATCACAATGAAGTTCTTGAATGCTACTCTGCACATTTTTTTCTTGTTCTACTTCTTTTGAAGCGTTTTTCCCTTTCCCCTTTTTAGGCACCTCCGTTATTAATTTCAATCTTTTTGCTTCTCTCTTATCACTGTAATCAACAAATGATATTTCCCTTATGAAAGGTCCAATTATCACATTCTTTTTATGTTGTTTTGCCGACATTTTCTTTTCTGCTTCCTTTAGCTCAAAAGCACGAAGTGAAGCCAAATTTTTTTCCTCTGTTTCCTTAGCTTGAGCAAGTAGCTCTTCCTGAGTTTTAGGTTGTGTAATTACCTTTTCTCGTTTAGGATGTGCTGCCTGTATAATAAATAATTGTGAAAATAGTGTTTGGAAAGTTCCAGGGATCGAGCAGACTTACCCTTTTCTTTTCATATTCTTTCAATTTTTCCGCAAGCATCTGTTTGCTCTGTACGGTATGCGTACGTGATGACGATCGAATCCCATGCAAAAGTGGTGCTTCATTTAACAAATTTAAATTACAACCTCTCTTCTATAAAAAAAAAAAAAAAAAAAAAAACACGAACTAATGTACGTTTAAAATATCACCTTGCGCTATAGATTTTTTTTTTTTATCAGAAACATTGCTCGCTGGATCTCCTTCATTATTCTGATTCGAATGTTCTTTTGAAGAAACTACTGATTTGTTTACTTCTCTTTTTCTTAAACGTAGAGCGGGACCCGCAGCAGGTAAATTGGATTTTTTCAACTTCTGAAATTATCGGGCGAGTGTAAAAAATCATCGAGTACGAGAATTTTAAACAATAAAATGAAAGTTAGTTACTTTTTTGGCCTGTTTTTCTTCAAGCAATATTTGTTTTTCAGCAGCATCTTCGTTTTCATCCGGTCCACTACTATTTTGGTCAAAGTCCGAGTCAATAACATCTTCGTCCTCTACAATTTTAAGCAAGGTTAACTAGACTGCATTAGTGATGAGAATGGATGAATAAAATCTAAAAATGAATATGCCTTTAGTATCCATGAAATCCTCGTCGTCAGCAACCTCTTGAAACATTTCTTCCAACTCCATTTCCTTTTCAATCAGCTCCCTCATTCTTTGTTAAAGAAGTAAAAAATCTCGATAAGATAGGAATTCCATTTAGTATACACACGACGCAGTTGTAAGAAACATTTTGTGTAAAAACTTACCGGGAACCGGCATTCGCTCGCCGTTCTCTCGTTGCAACAAGTGACATATTGCTTATGGAGAGTAAAAAGTCGAATAATAACAAACTTCAAAACTATTAACTAAACTTGACAACTTTAATACAAAGTAGTGAAATGGGTCTTCAATATTGTTTAACCTTTTTCGCGTAGTGAAGATCAAAAAAAATTTTTTTTTTTTTGTTAACCACGCACACTTTTTATATCAACCAAAAAACCGACAAAACGGTATCCAATTAAAGATTTAGGAACATAAAATTTTATGTATCACGATATTTAATGTCACGTGATTGAAATTATAATCGTTTTATCCTTACATCTGGAAAAAAAAAAACAGTTCATATGCTGAAATTTGACAAATAGCTTATAAATCCGAGAAGAAAGTGACACCTAATGTGTTTGTTAATACGAAAAATATCCTTCTTATTTAGATCGCAATTTCGCTCGGAGCTTCGCCTCTTCGATTTTAGCAATATAACGGCGCTACACAATGTTTTGCATGAACATTAGAAAAGAAACATACGAAAACCAAATACATACGGTATGCAACGTAAAAAATTTGGATGCACCTGTTTTTTTAACTTTAATAATTGAAATCTCTCAAAGTCTGTCAGGGAAGCTCTCTTTTTTCGGGCTTCCAATTTTCTGGCCCACGCGGTATTGTTCCATTTCTCTAGGGTTTTTTCTTTCTCGAAGTATTTACTCACTACTGGCGACCTGCAACCCCTGGGTAATCCTTTAACTACAAGATCGGTGAGGGTGAGACGACGGAATGCATGAGAATGGCGAGGCACTCCAGTATTTGGACCATCGATAAGTGCCTGGTTATCGGAATACGAAAAGAACACAGTCAGAATGTATTAATTATATTCTTTATATAGTTGAAGGTTCACGCTCACGATCCTGGATGCTTATTTCCCCATGAACCTACCCGGTTATGATCGATTATATCGACAATAACAGCGAGTTTTCCCTCGTATTCGCCGTAGTTAATGAAGACCACTCGACCGACTTCGACCAAACGTTTGAAAGCACTTTTCTAAACAATGCACGTGGAAAAAAAAGTAAACCACTGCCTTAAGAAGTTTGGTGACAATTTTTGCCCGACAAAAATCAAAGCTACTGTTTCCCCCCTCTACGAAAATAATCATATCTATTTTGAATCTCTGCAAAGTTCATTAAAGTTGCGGGTGCCAAGATATTTTGGATAATTCTTTTTCAACCGATTGAGCATAAGAAGAGAAACGCACCGGCATCTTCCCTGTGTTTAAAACGAAGTGGATTCGAAAGAGGATTAAACAACGTTTGCAAATCGCATCTACTTCAACATCAATTCGCAGAATCCTATTGGTTCACATCTTATCATGTGTGGAAATTTTTTTTTTTTTTTTTTTTTTTTTTAAAAAAAATCTTTATTATTTATTAATTCTAATTCATATAATAAAAAAAAATATTTAAAGAAAAAGAATATGCCCCAAAAATTTTCTTGCAAACATATAATTCTTAACAAGAAAATAAATAAATAAATTTGTTCAAATAATACAACCTAAATTTTTTAGTTATAAAAAAGTTTTATTATTATATATCGTGTGAATGCTATGTTTTTCGATATACTGTATTGTATATTTGTAAAAGTTGACAATTATGGTCGATTCACACACGTGCAAATCATTTAGCATATCGGCTTGACACTTCGTCCAACAAGCTACTTAGTCAAGATGGAACGTCCACCCCTTTCTCCAACTCGTGATCTGGAACAGTCGCATTCGGGATCCGCCAACTTTCCTCAACCACGTCCATTGATCGGCTCGACGCATCCCATGCCCCCACTTCACATGGCCCCAGCTTTTCGCCCGTTATTGCCTTCCGGCTGGACAGAACATCAAGCACCCAACGGAATGTTTTATTATTATAACGCGGCAACCGGACAAAGTAGTTGGGAGAGACCGGTCATGGTACCACCACCGCCACCTCTTGGCCCCCCTCCGATGGGGATCGGAATGCCTCCCTTACACCCTTTCCAGCAGACACCTGGTTTCGCGACTTTGCCGGTTCTTCATCAAAGTGTTTCGCAACAGGTTCCAGCACAGCAGCAGAAGGAACAATCGAAAGTGAAAAAGAAAAAAGAAAAGGCGAAGTCCAAGTTAGTGTCGCGATATAATGCCTTCCATATGAGCTATTCAAAGAATTAAAGAATTTGATTTCACTCGATTTTAATCCAGGAAACCAATTCCCGATACAAAGTGGCATATTGTCACGACCACGGAGGGAAATCAATTTTATTATAATTCAGAGACGAAACAATCGTTATGGAAAGTTCCTGAAGAAATCGCGGAGGCGGTCAGGATCATCAAAGAACAGGAGGCCAGAGAGTCTCAAAACCAAAAATCCCAGGACAAAACCGGTGTTAAAAGGAAAGCGGAGGATGATGATGAGGCAATGGCTGGTGAAGACGCGAAGAGGGCAAAAGGAGGTTCGGCAGTCATGGAAAATGAGGGAACAGAGTACGTGCGTTTCTCCGAGAATGGAAAATCTTCGATTTGGAGAACATCAACTATTTACATTCTTAAATAATTTCAGATTGACAGAGGATGACATCGCCTTCCAACTTCAATTCATGGAAGAGCAGGAACGTCAAGAATCTGATGTTGAACACAGTGAATCGCATGATCATTCAACGGAGCATGCGATGAGTGACGAAGGCTCTCAACTGTTGAGCAAAGAGAAGGGCAAAGGCGTGGATCTCTTGCCTGAGGAACGTGCGCTGAAATTCAAGGTATGAAGGAGAAAAGCGCACATTTCATTTCATATTGTATTCTTGAACACCATCACAAATTCACTTCTCGCTTTCAGGCTCTCCTAAGGGAGATGGAAGTTTCGCCTTTCGCATTTTGGGAAAAAGAGTTACCGAGAATCATACATGACTATAGATATACTTGTAAGCGACCTTTCAGGTGGTTGACTGTTGGTATCGCACGCGTGTTACTAATGCTATCTGTTGACACATTATGTAGTAATCCCGACATTAAAGCAAAGAAAGGAATTATTCGATGAATATTGCAAAGAACGAGTTATAGAATTGAGAGCAGAAAAGAACAAGGTAAATGGAAACAAAAAAAAAAAAAAAAAGAAAGAAAGATAAAGATAAAAAATAAAAATAAAAAGGTGACTTAAACGATGTTTCTATGCTTACACCTGTTTCATTATTATTTAAACAGGTCTTATCCGAAAAGGATGAATACTTGAAGTTGCTAGAAGAAGAGACGTCCTATCGTTCACACTGGGATTCTTTCAGATCAAGTTTCAAGCGAGACCCTAGGTTCAAGAATTTTGCGGACGACAAAGAGAGAGAGAAATTGTTCCGCAAACACGTTCGGGATTTGAAAGATAAAGAGGCAGAGCGTAAGTGTTCACACGGATCTACGTTTCCCAAATTGATGATTCGCATTTTCAATTCAATTCACAACTTTAGGCAAACGAGCGCAACAAAAAAAGGCAGTGGAAGATTTCATGAAACTTTTGAGGGAAACGAGAGAAATCCAATCCGATTCGAGTTGGCGTAAGGTAATTGCTCGTCTGAACGTATTTCAAGACGCATACGGTCATTTATGACGCACATTGTTCATATCATTATAATGCTCAAAGGTTAAGAGGCTGATTGATGATGATCCGAGGTATGAGGCGGTGCAGTCGTCTTCTCAGAGAGAAGAGCTATTCAGGGAATATTGCAAAAAACTTGAGGACGAAGATGTGGAAGAGATGGAAAGGAAGGAACATGCACGGAAGCAAAGAGAGCGCAAAGAGAGGTAATTGTTCGTCGTTCCACTTATATCTTATTGATGGGATTGTGACCAACGAAATTTTCCTTGATGTAGAGAGGAAGAAAGCCTGAGGAATCGAGAAGCTCAAGTGAGAAACGAAAGGAGAATTCAAAATTTTGACAGGAATTCGACGAAAAAGAGAATGATGCGTGAGGAGTCTATTCGTGAGTTTCAAACTCTGCTGATAGACCTGGTTCGAACTCACGAGGTACACACAACGATCGTTCATTGAAGATATTCGTGTTCGTTCAATCCGCCTGATTCACTCACGACTTTGATCATGTCGCTACATCTTCAGACCACATGGGAATCCAAGAAAACCGATCTATCGCGCGATCATCGTTTCGGCGGTGAAGGTCTGGACGATGTGGACAGAGAACGCCTCTTCAACGAACACATTGATAATATATATCGGGCCCGTCTCAAATCATACCATCAACTTCTCGAACAACATGTGAAGCTGGATACTACCTGGCTCGAGGTATATCCGGTCATCAAGGACGATCCACGCGCAGTAAGGCTTTCCAAGGATGAATTTCAGTTGGAGAATTTATTCAACGATTACGTGAATATGAGAGTAGAGCGGGTCAAACAAGAATTTCTCGAGCTACTGAAGGAAAATCAATTCGTGGAGTACAGGGCACGCATGGTTCAACTGTCCGAGAACGGAGCAAAAGATGAGACTGGTGCAGAGAAAGAGAAGGCGCGCAAGCTCACATTAGAGGAGATCCATGATGTCCTCAAGGTATTTGTTCTTTTACTTACAGTAGTACGGCGACGGCTTATTCTCCGAACCCGAATGTTTCTTGGTCGTTTCACCGCATAGAGGGAATATGCAATTTAATAGTAATAATAATAATAATATAATTGTGCAGGATGATACGCGATTTTTGGTATTGAACATTATGCCAGAGGTACGTGATGAATTAATAACCCAATACCTGAATAACATGGAAGCGCCAAAGATGACAGTTCACCAGGGACGGGAATAACGAGCTAAAAGTGAGAACTGATAAATTATTATGGTTAACAAATTTAATAAATGAGGTCGATAAAAATTTTTGTGTAAAAAAAAAATAAAATAAAGTGAAACTGTCACCGAACCGAACAACAGTTTATCGAACAGAACGGCACAAATTCGATCACGTGACACGGGCGTGTGGTTTTGATTAAGCCGGTAACCGGTAAAAACGATTCGCTGAATAACGCATGACGACGTTCACGCACGCGCGCGCGCGCACCTTTAAGAGTGGAATATTGAAATGGAAGAATGCTAATAACGGAACAATGAACGAATGTAGCAGGTTGTTGAATTATTATGCAACATCACGATTTTCATAATATCCTTGATTTTGTCCCACGATGAACAGCGAGCGACATATTCACAGATTCCTTATAACTAAGATAAAGATAATTCATTTCGAAATTGCCTTCGCGCGAATGGTGTACTTCTTGCATCATGGTGCACGATGATCACCGAAAATTTAAATAGTTCGTGTAGAATTCCCTATTTGTTGTCATAAAATTGGACGCAAACAATTTACGCACGTGCATACGAACCCTTGAAGCGCATGTCATTATCTCCTTGTTAGGTCTCGCCCGCATGATGCACGGATTAATTGTCAAAGCTGTGTGACCCAAGTGTAAAAAGGTGAATGTGTGGCAGTTGTACTCTTTATTATGAAGTGAACATGTTCTAATGCGTTTCGAGCGTGACAATGAATGAAGCGTTTGAATGTGATGAATTTTTTCAAAAAATTCAAGTTTTTATTAATAAATTCATTTCAGATAAGGAAGAGTTCAAGAGGAGTAATTAGTCTTATGGTAAGGGATTTTTCCCTAAGTTGAGGTGATCATAGTCGGTGCATATCATTTACAGTCATATTTCATATTTTGTTGACACGAATTGCTTAAGAGATTTTTTATCGAATGTACGAAAAATATACATTTTTTTTTTTTTTTGACCAAAAAAGCTTATAGACAAAATGTAATAAAAATGTAATAATAAAAGATGTGATAAACTAAAAACATTTACAAGAATGAGAAAGAAAAAAAAAAAAAGGAAAAAAATTTTTTTTTTCATCGAAATATTATTATTAATATTCTTTTGGCGGAGTGACGTAAAGGAGAGTCGACGAACGCTTTTACTTTATTCGTGTTTGCCGTTTATCTCATTCTGAAAGTAAGCCAAACAAACGGCCTTCGCTTCGGCGCCCATACCCAAATACTCGACATTTTCCCACATGCGCTTGCAATTGCCTTCGTTTAAGGAATCGTAAAACTTGTCAGCATCGCCATCGTAGAAATACTCCAAGATGGGATCGAACAATTCACAGGCGGGTAACGAGATGGTGATCACATCACCATTTGAGATATCACCGCTATTAAATATCACGTTGAAGAAGTTGGATTGTAGGACGAGGTATTCCTTGTGAACGTAATAGGGCTTAGGACAGCCGTCAATGTGGAGTTCGGCGTGGGCGGATGATTTATCGTTGAGGTATTGGGGACCCAGTTCGTGAAGTTTCTCTAGAACATAGGTGATGGGTATTTCGCGGATCATGGAGAGAAGATTGGATGTCGAGGAATTGGCGGGAGAGGAGTTGAGGCAGATGCTTTTTAACTCCGGGATGTGTTCCTGGGCTAAGGTGGTGGTTGTGGTGGTAGTCATCTTTTTTTTCGAAAGAAGAGGATTTTAACGCTGTTAAAAAGAAAATGTGTGTGTGTGTGTGTGTGATCTCTGTGCTGTTTTAAATGCTACTGTTGCTGTCGCTGCGATTTTACGAGTTTGAAGTGATTATTTGGTTGTTTACTATTTGCAAACTTGAAATTGTTACTTTTTTCCTTGACCAAAATCTGAAGGTGGGAGATTCGGTGTTTATATAGAGCACATCTCTCTTTGACACAGTATATGCATTATGTCTTAATATGTCCAATAGCACTGTTTAATATTATTTCTGATAATATTTTGATATATTAGGATCTCAATACCCTCGATATTATTCATCATGCATTAGCATTCATATTGTTCAAATCGTGTCGGGTCTGGAAAATTCCGAATTTGGTTATTTTTTTATCCCGGGTCTCACATAAGCACCATTTATTTACCAATTCAAGCACAAGACTATAAAAAACCACCCAGAAAATAATATTAGAGAAAAACACGGGGTAATAGTGTCAGATGTCGTATTTCAGATCCCCGTTATACTGTGTCTACGCATTATTTGTATTGTATATACACCGGACCGCAACAATACATCGAGTGAGCTCGCATCCGACTAACAATTATTAATCGTACCCTCGTAAATTCACAAGGGGTATGTATCATTTGGGTGTTGTGTGTCATAAGGAAACTAGCTATTTAAGTTGTAGGTTACGATAGACGGTTGCCTTCTAAATATAAAAACAATGTTTAAAAATGTTATCACGGTAATCGTATTTTGTGTTTAAAAAGGTATCGGGATCTTTGGCAAATTAATATTGGCTTACCATAACATGATTACCAACTGTTAATTTTAATAATTTTATGGTAACCCTGAACCGAACATAATTGTTTTGGAATTTTGTCATGACATTATCCACAAACCAGAACAATACGTAAGATTGGTGTCATCTCGTCTCCTATTTTGTCTAATTTTACATTGTTTCGACATTTAAATATCTTGTTGCATGTACTATTTACTACCTTGTTACGTGTGACAGATAATATAAATTCTTTTTGACGTACTTACGTACGTACGTGCGAAGGTATCTTTGACGATTGGACAATCATACACATATTTGTCCCAGCCTTTCGCTTCGCGCTGAAAAAAAAGTGTCCCGTGTTCTTACCCTTTCACATCTCAGAAGAGTTTCGCTTTTGGGGGGGGGGGGGGGAGAGAGAACAATTATAACAAACAATTGCTAAGTGGCATCATGATTTACCGAAAACAAATGCTTAAATGTGTCATGCACGTGCGATGTAGGATGTGTTTCATGTTTCATTTAATAAAAAATGTCCTCTTATGTATTATAGTAAATGTAGGCCTATGGAGTGCAAAGTTCACGCAGTTAGCGGTTAAACAGATTAATTATTGTCCCAATCCTCTTCATATTATCCGTTCGACTTTGTTTTAATAATTCATCATTCTGACTCGGTGTGATCAATTATTTCCCATTCGACTAAACTATTATCCAACTTAATATCTCCAAACAGCAAAGATTTCCGTGATCCCTTATCTTTATTATCTTCTGACTCACGGTCCATTCCTTCCTACACCATGATCACGATTATTTCTTATTTGATCGAATTGTTGAAATGAATCCACAACCAGACACATTTCGTTTCATCGGTTTCAGCCAAAGGTCACATGCACGAAGGCATTCCGAATCTTGGGGAGAAAAACGAGTCGATTTCTGGACTTTCTTTAATATTGTTTGTCATGTTTCCGTTCAAGCATGTATCTCCGGGCGAGGAACCACTCGTCGGTATTTATTTTAACAATAGCTACAATAAGGAATGTTTAGAAAACTGTTTTACATTATCGATAAAAATAACAACTGATGCACAAATGTTTTAGATGCCTAATTCAAAAATAGGTAAACTTGATTTTTTTTAGAGACTCGGTGATTGATTTTCCTTTTCTTATTGGTATTTTGCCACATCTTCACATGATTTGATTAAGAGTTTCCCAAGATAGGGATTAAGGATTCAATTATTAAGAAATACAGTAGTGACAATAAATAATAATCAAGTGATCAAATAAATTTTATTTAATTTTTATTTTTAGAACATGAAATTTTAGTCATACATCACTTAAAACCTGACTTTGATTTTTTTTTAATGCATTATTTCATCTCACACTCCCTTTTACTCTTTTAGACATCGATTGTACTAATTTGCAATATAACTCTATACTAATCTACTTCTTATCATCTTTGTAAAATCACTTTACGATATGATACTTTTTTTTTTATAAATCTCAAAGTTAACAAGTAAATATTATTTCTACAATAATTTGATCATAAGCTTTGCATGATAAAAAAAGGAACTTTATAGGAAGCATATATCTTTATCAAAGTTTTTGAAGATTATAAACCATTCATGATAA